TAACCTCACAGTGGGATGACGGAAAGCAAAATAAATGCAGTCACTGACCCCCAGAGCCAAAATATCATGGAGCTGGAAAAAAAAAATCAGAATCTCCTAACCCCCTTTTTGACCTAACATTGCACTTTTTAATCCAACATCACATCTGTTACCCCTGCGAGGTACTTGGACGTGTGCCAAGGTTTCCGAACACACCATGTGCGCTTGGCTTGGTTTCGCGTGTTCGTTCCAGAGCAGTTAGGATTTTTCTTATTCCTGCACTGTGATTAATTTTCCCTTCAGTTCAGTTTGGCTGACAGAAGATCATTCAGAATTCTGTTGATCTCAGCAAGTAACTGCTCAGTCACCTACACCTTCAGGAACATGTGCATTATGAAAAGCTATGCACGGATTTCAAATTTGGCGCCAAAATACACTCAGACTCAAAATAAACTCCTGTTTTCCATGAACTTTTTAAAAGTCCCTGGTTATAAAGGAAGAGTTTGCTAATTATTATATCAAAAAGGATTCTTAATGAAACTGAGGGGATTCCTTTAGGTAAGGAAATGAAATGTTTATAGAACGATTTTACAATGCTGAAGAAACGTCTGATTCTGAAGGTGAGGAAGTTACCTGAAACTTGAAATTACATTCTCAGTAGGACAAAGAGTAAATAAAATGTCACATCTGGTGTGTGCCAATTCCTGTATCTTCCTACCTCCTCGTATCGAGCAGGATGAATGTTACTGTAATTGTTTTCTAAGGGTACTGAGAATGTTGGGTTTCAGTTCTAAAGTCTTGGTGAATTCAAAGGTCACCTTCTCTCTGAGATATGACCTGACTACACTATTGAGCATTCAAGGTTCTCCCTCCTGCTCCTTGCTGCTTTGAGGCACATTTCTCCATCCACACATTTCTTTTATATAGTATTTGGTTCATTTTCTGTCTGTGTTATGATGGTGGAGATTTTCATCTTTCTTCTCAGGTTCTAATTTTTAGAACAGGGCCTAGCATATAGGAGGGACCCCTATATAAACAGAAAATAGAAAATGACCCTATTACGCATTGCATGCCATGATTCACACATGCTGAAGACAGGAGGCTATGCTGTAAAACAGCATCAGCTCGAAGAGCATGCACTGTTCCTTCTACCATCCATCAATTACATGAACCAAAGTATAAAACATGGGCTATAAAGATATATGTGATTTGATGTAATATAAACAAGATTATGATTTAAAAAAAAAAACATGAGCTGTCAGCAACCGGTTCCAATGATTTTATTTTTCAGATTGTTATCCTTTAGTGAACAAATGTCTTCAACTTGAACTAGCCATCAGGCTCATGGACACAGCCTCTGTCCCCCTACCTATACGGAGCGCCGTGTCCTAGTGGGGCTTAAAAACATGACTGTGGGATTGATTGGCAGATGTCTACCCCCTTCCTGAGAGCTATGTTCTCATGCAACAGTACATGGAGTCTTTGAAAATCAAGTAGCAGAGACGAGGGAACTTTACTACTTAAGTCTGTTCTATAGTAAATATTTCTTATAAAAACACAGACTTTCTTGGCAACGGCATACTTTATTTGTAAGGTCATATTTTGGCAGATAAGGGTTGCTAAATCAGTGAACTGAGACACGCGCACACTGAGAGTAGAATCTGCAGGCTCAGTTCTGTGCCAGGCTGATGATTGATGAAAGAGAAGTAGCCCCATGAGAAGACTTGATGGGCACATGGAACCAGTCGAGAATTATAAATGAAAGGGAGGATTGTAAGTCCCTCAAAGGCAAGGACGTCTTCTCATTCACTTGGTCATCCAGAGCCTAGCACAGATACTCTACGTGGTGATTGAATAAAGGCATGATTAAGTGACTGATCAAATGCAATCAAGTACTAAACAAGACTTTTAAAAAGCATCTACAATGCAGTAAAAATTCAGACAGAGGGGTCACTGGGGATGACTTGATGGCACCGGCAGAACGGAAATTGCACCTCAAAGAAAATTAAGACTTCAAATGCTGGAACAAATGGTAAAAGAGAATTCATAAGTAGAAGAGAATTTAGCACCTATCAGGAGAATTTTGAGCAACAATCTATAATCTATATTTATAATTATACATATATTCTACTACTCTAATGCTAGGGAAAAAATCTAAATATACACACAAAATAAGATTTTAAAAGAGAAGTTAAAGATTAAAGATGTCATATTTTAAACTGTATTTACTGATTAATGGCGTAGCATTCTTTCTGTCAGGCATAAGTCTACATTTTAAATAACTTTCTTGATAATTTTGAACTTTTTCCGGCTAACTTCTAGTCATGTTTGATAAGATCATGTTATTTTGAAACATGACTGCAGAGCAGTTTCAACAGGTGTAAGAGATACATCAGTTAAGTCATTTTCACTCATACCTACAATGTTCATATTGTCTCTCACCTTCTGTTTCTTTGAAGAACTTTTTCAAATTACTAGTAAGAGTTAACTTAGTTAAAACTACATAATACAATATAATCAATTGGCTCAACTGGGCTGGACTGAGGTGTGTGTTGTGCTGGGTAAAGTCTCTTTAAATTCTAAATGATATAGGGACCAGCAGGTGGTGTGGTGGTTAAGGCATTGGACACTCCCACATGACTGACCACGGTTCAAGTCCTGGGCCTGGTGGCTTGCTTTCTCACTTTCCCTCTCTCACTCTCTGTGTCTCTCTATGGTCAAATTAAAAATAAATGAACAAATAACATTTTTAAAAGAAAAAAATCTAAATTATATATAGCAATTAAATGTATAAATAATTAAAATTAATAAATAAAAAATTGTTAAAAAATATGTATATACACTCAATTGGCCAAGCACATAAAAAACTAGAATATGTTGAAAGACACTTAAAGTGGGAAAAGAGCATGAGTGGGATATGTATGTGGCTATCAGTTGACAGACAGCTAGGTTGAGGGTGCCAGGAAAAAGCTTACTTTGAGACCATTGACCACACCTCCCCTATGTAGGTGGAGTTAGTGTGTTACATGGTTGGGAAAGCGGGGGGTCGGGGGGCAGCTCATGAATTGTGGTTGAGAGGTTTTGACATGGCAAAATAGGCTGGTGAGAATTTTTTTAAATTTATTTTTTAATTTTTATTATCATCATAATCTTCTTTATATTACATTGGATTACATATAACTTTACAGTGTATTACATTACTTTTTCAAAAGGGAATGCCATGCATGTCAGTCAATACAGAGACATTAATCTCCCCGCTTCAACATTCAATATCTTTTCTATGTTTTCCCCAATCAGTATTATTATTATAATTATTTTTTAAAACAGTCAATCGCTATTTCTCATAAAAATATGGAACACTTCACGAATTAGCATGTCATCCTTGCGCAGGGGCCATGCTAATCTTCTCTGTATCATTCCAATTTTAGTATATGTGCTGCCGAAGTGAGCACAATATTTTCATATTTTAAAGAAAGAAGGGGCCATACTCCTACATGGTTGATCATGAACCTGGCAGCTTGAAACTCATGCCAGGAGAATGTGCATGTGTGCCCAAAATCCCAAAAGGAGAATGGAGGAGAAGGGATTACAGCATGACCATCCCCCCTAGGGGGTGATTTCTTGCTTTCTATCTCTTTGTCCTTTTGATGAGCACACATGACCTACAGCAAAAAATAAAGGAAGGAAGGAATAACAGGAGACATTTTTTAATTTAAAAAATAACTTGTGTTGGGGCCAGCAAGTAACGTGGAGATTAAGGCTCTGGATCCCCCATAGCTAACTGCAGTTCAAGTCCTGGACCCAGTGGCTAGAAAATCATGTCAAGCAGGTGTGTGTATGCCCAAAATTCCAAAAGGAGAAGGAATTGCAGTGGCATGGCCATCCCCCTCTCTCTGTGTGTCTCTCTGTAGCAAGTGCATGAGCCCTATAGCAACCTCCCAAAAAATGTGTCTTGATAAATTAAGAACAAATTTAAAATACATAAGAAATAGACTCAGGGGAAATATGAATGAGATTTATTTCGTTTCAGCAAACTCTTTGAGTCAACTTCCCATAGAATTGCCATCTTGGAAGCAGCAGGTGGTATAGTGGTTAAGGTGCTGGACTCTCACCTGTCTGACAGCATTTCAAGTCAGGACCTAGTAACTTGAAAATCACAACTGGAGGAGAATTGAGAAGTGATTGCTGTGTTGGCATCCAACCTGGGAGATGATTTCTCATTTTCTCCCTTCTCTCTCTTTCTCTCCTTCTCTCTGGTGAGCGCATGTACCCTATGGCAAACACATCCCTTAAAAATAAATAAATAAATAATTGTCATCTTCTAGTTATAGGACTCTGATTTTTTTTCTTTCAAAATACAGACTTTTCTCATTGTTCCTAATAGGAGAGAGCCAGGGCTTGCCTGACGTACCTGGTGAGTCAGCTGGCCAACATGGACCATTCGTTTCACCATGTTCTTCTGCTGGAGATTCAGAGCATCACCGACACCTTCTCCATCCTGGGCCCTCAGAACAGAGACATCTTCCGCATGAGCAACAGCTTCACTGCCGTTGCCAAGCTCCTTACCCGACAGTTGGAAAACCCCAAGGCTGGAAGTGACAGGTGAGCAGGAGTTCCTAGGCCCTTCAGAGAGCTGTTGAGAGCCCATGGAGATGGGAGCCTTCTTTTGCAGTCATGAAACTTCCCAAGGAAAGCCAAACTCACTGTCTCAACAGGCAGTGATGTCTGAATCAACATGGTACTTGCCTGAAGGTTTTCCTAAATCTGTGAAAACCAGAATATTACGACAATAAATTAACTTAAAAAACAGAATATTACGACAATAAATTAACTTAAAAAACAGAATATTACAACAAAAATATTCAAAAGATACACAAAATACAGTAAAGGGATAAGAATGTAATGTTAACAATGTTTTATAACATTCATTTATTTATGAACCATCACTTAACAATTTAAGTTGTCAAAGGTAAAGAGGTAATATAGCTTACTATGTACCAGGAAGCTAGACATAAACAGAAACTTAGAACATGTATCTTATATTTAAGGAGTTAATGGTATAGGGGAAAAAAAAAAACTGTGTACATGCATAGAGAATGTGGGAAGATTATCCTAATCAAGATAGGTTCAAGTAGTAGGGACCAGCAGTTAGCGTAATGGCTATGTTGCTGGACTCCCATGTAGTGAACCGCGGTTCAAGTCCCGGACCCAGTGGCTTAAACTCACACCGGGCGCATGTGTGTGCATGCCCAAGATCTTGAGAGGAAATGGAGGGGAAGAGATTACAGCGTGGCCATCCCCCCAGGGGGGTGATTTCTTGCTTTCTGTCTCTCTGTCTCTCTCTGTCTTTTTGGTGAGTGCACATGCCCTATAGCAAAAAAAAAACTCTCCAAAAAAAAGAAAGGAAAGTCATTTGGGGAATACAGAGATGGGGTATATATTTCTGCATGGAAGGGAGAGGAGTGGGAGCTGAGATCTGGAAACATTTCCCAGAAGAAGTGATGTATTGGACCAAGTATTGAAAGATAGGCTGATTGTTCCAGGCTGTCTCTTGGCAGTATGTGAAAAGGTACTTTCTGGAAACAGAAGTCATTTTGTGTGACTAAGGTGTATGTTACCAGAAAAGCAACATCAGGAGATGCTAACCGAGTACAGGAGGGGACCAGAAGATTCTAGGCCTGACATACCCTACTAAAGAGTTCCAATTTTACCCTGGAGGCAATGAGGAGTCATTATGATGTTTTTCCACGTGGCAGACTATGATTAGAGTCTATCTTTGGAGGCCGGTCTGGCCCCACTATAGAGAATGTCTCAGGAAGAGGCAGACTGGAGTTAGATCAAATGAAGAAAGGACAGAAAAGTGTCTATAGGGTGGGCCATGAGAAAATTATTGATGGTTGTGACGAGTAAGCTGCAGGTAATTTTTTTTTTTAGCAGAAAACCAGATGTCTAGGGTTGAAGAGAAAGAATGGATAGAATGCACAAAACTGGCCTTTCAAAGAAGTTTATCTTTGGAAAAAGTAAAGACTATACAAAGTGGAAGAAGCGGTTTTATTTTTGTTCGCTGTACTTTGGAAAGGGAAAAATTGGGGGCTTTTTGATGTTTAGGAGTCACAAAGTACTTTCAAATATGCCCTCTCAGTGAATTCTCTTGACTACCCTACAACACGAGATGAAAAGACATCATCATTTCTATTTTACAGAACAAAGCTGAAGCTCAGACACTGGATAAATGTCCTCCAATGTTATCCAGTGACAAGGTGACAGAGGTTAGAGGCAAACCCCTATCTTCATTCTTAGATCCTATGCATTGAGAGGTATTTAATTCCAGAGGAGGAGAAAAGCCTATCTGAGACTGACATCAAATTCTGTGGGGGGTTTTGGGAATAATGAATGATGCATATCATTTTCAGTAGGAAACAAGGATTCCAGAACCACAGGAATTCACCTTAATAAAACAGTGAGCGTTGAGTCACAAGGGTCACTCCATGTGCAGAGCCTGGAGGACCCAGGAGACATCCAACACCATCTCTGCCTTCGAGGGGTTCACCGTCAGAATATGTGATGGGGTTTTGATGGATGTACGTGCCATGGGCTAGAGAGCCAGAGAGATGTACTGACTGGGAATTGGAGAATGTTTCACAGAGGAAGTGAAATTTAAGTTCATTCTCTAGTTTGCAAGTTTCTTTCAAGGGTCAGGTGTTTCTCTAGACATTATATTAAATTGCACAAAATGAATGAAAATTCCCCCAAAAGGACACTAAAAATCGAGAGAATAGCATATGCAAAGATAGGAGGACTTAAGAATGTGTGAACAAGCCTAAGGGAAAGTAATTTGTTCAACGTGGCTGAAGAAAGTACATCCGGGTTAGGTAGGAAAGTAAATGAAAAGTTAAGTCAAAGGTAAATTATCAGAGGCCTTATGTGTTGTGTAGAAGCAAGGAGTTTGGTTTTTTTTTGTTTTTTGTTTTTTGTTTTGAGAGGTTTTTGCTATAGGGCGCATGCGCTCACCAGACAGACAGAGACAGAGAGATAGAAAGCGAGAAATCACCCCCCAGGGGGGATGGCCACGCTGCAATCCCTTCTCCTCCATTCTCCTCTCGGGATCTTGGGTACGCACGCACACACGCCCAGCGTGAGTTTTAAGCCACCGGGTCCGAGACGCGAACCGCAGTCGACTATGTGGGAGTCCAGCGACATAGCCATTATGCTAACTGCTGGTCCCAGGAGTTTGTTTTGTAAGCAACATGGAGTCTTAGAAATATTTTAATCCAGGGAATGATTACAGCTCCAAGCATAGTAATTATCAGATAATAATAAGCATTCAATAAATAGGTGAATGAGGATTGACTAACACTCTGGGGCACTGAATGTATTTGGCTGGTAACACAGAGTAGCCAGGATGCTATTGTTAAGCCTGAAAAGATCCTGAGGAAGCCTAAACAGAGTCAGTGATAAAGACTAAGATCTCAGGGTAAGAGCACAGAATTATGAGGATTGAGAGATATCTAACTTGAGTGACGGCATAGACATGGAAGGTGATGGTGGTAACTAAGAAAAGAGGTAGCAAGAACCCCTCTTGGAGGGTCTCCTAGACCACCACATACATAGATCATTGTCTGACCAATGTGGTCACCAAAGTCAATAATAACTATTCATCAGAAGAAAACCAATCACAAAACTCCTTTTCTCTCAAACAACAATTTTGACTGAGCATACAAAAAATGTATTATCATCCGGTTCAATAGTAGATGCCTATGTACTAGGGTTTTTCCATCTTGGTAGTATTGGTATTTGGGCTAGATGATTCTTGGTTGTAGGACTGCCATGTACAATTCTACATAGAACACCTGCCAGTGACTATGTCTTCTACTCACTAGGTATTAGAAGAAGTACCTGCTCAGGGTTATGACAACCAAAACTATCTCCAGAGATCGCTAACTGTTCCCTGGGAGATAGAAATCACTCCCAGTTGAGCTCATCTACTAAATACATAAACCATTTGAAAATAGCACTTGCACAGACTCATAACCTCATGAGCAACAACCTAAATATGACAGCATCTAAGAAACTCAAAGCCAGCATTGGGAAGGGATTTGCCATTTATATGTCACTGCGAAAATGTCATTGGCCAATTTTCATGATACAGTTTTGGAAACTTGGTTTAGAGTGTCTCAGCTACTGTTTAAAGAAGTCATTTATATTGAGCGCACAGTAGGCTGCTTGTTTTTTGAAAGCCATGACAGTCATATTGTCAAAAGTAGAAACTCAGGCCAGTCACTGGTATGGTAGTTAAGGCAGCTGGATCCCACATGGCCAACAGTGTGGTCCGAAATGTGTCCAATGGCTTGAAAAATACACTGGACGCATGTGCACCCAAAATACCTGAAGGAGAAATGAAGGAAAAGGGATTATGGCCTGACCATCCTCCATAGGGGGGTGCATTCTCATTTTACCTCTCTCTCCCTCCCTCTGTCTCTCTCCAGTGAATACATGTGCAAATAATTTTTTTTAAGTGAAACTTGTATGCATGTCCTTGACAGCTGTCTATTCATTCTCTATCACCCCCTAGAAATACAAGGGTTAAGAAGCTAATTGACTCCTCTGATGTTAGATGTGTTAAGAAGTTTTATATAATGTTACATTAGGCATTTTAACAGCAGAATTGATCTCTAACAAGTAGGCCCAACCCTATTAGCAGTCAACAATTTCCCCAGGAAAAGAATTTAGAAGAGGGGAAAACCAGTTCTTCCAATCAAAATGAGTCTGAACGTATGTGAATGCATTACAGTTTTTTCTCCTTTTACTATTTTTCTCAGGAGTGGAGTGGAATAAAGAGCAATATTAAATGTGAAGAGAACAGGTCATCACTAACCTCATACCCTCATTACTACCTCAGCCCTTCTCAATTCAAAATACTTCTCCCAGTTTGATTCTCCCTGTCAATCTTCTCCTCATCAATTGTGATTATTTGGTGGGAACCTCAAAACCCTAGTATGGACTGCCAGCTTCTAAATTAATTGCTCATCCTCTCTGGGATGGTTGCTAAGGCTTCTCTTCCGACATCTTTTCCCTGAATAGTCTTATTGTGACCATTTAACTTCAGTCATTTTAATCTGTGCCCCCAAAGAAGAAAGGTCTATACTTTTGTCTCAAGTATACAGCAAAGTCTGACCCTCACAATTAAAGGGAAAATGAATAAATGAAGAGAGCTTGAAAGAAAATTAAAGATGATAAAATTCAAAACAGATGTCATCTAATTTACAAATCTGACACATAGCCCAGCAGGCCAGATTTTAGACTCCAGGCCAAAACTACAAGATTATCAAAAGAAAAACAATTAGCATCCTATAGAGAATGAGAAACTGAAGCAGACAGGAGTCTTCTTTGTGCCAAAAGACCTAATAAATGAGGTGCACTTTATTAGATGCACCAGGTGAGTACACTTGCCCTTTTCCTGTTCCTCTGTTTTAAGAAGAATGTTTAGATTTGAATAATAAACCAACAGAGACAGAAAGAATAAGACAGCCAAGTGAAGTGTTTGAAATTCATTCTGGAGAAGCAAAAAACGATACAGCGGGAGTTGGGGGTTGAAAGGAGAA